TTTCTTCTTGTTTTGCAAAATTGTTCTTTGAGCATAATAAGAAATTAATTTTTAGGATTCATGTTTGAAACATTTAGTAGTCGTCACTAGTTTTTTATACAACGTACCAAATATCAATGAAATTAGGAAAAACCTTCGAAAGAAGTTACACTTTGACAGATTATTCTAGTACAAGTGGAAACAGTTTTACTCAAAATGAACAGTTATCGTGTATATTGATGTTTAAAGCTTTATAACTCGTCATTAAATCATGCATGAGAAAATATCTGAAAATAAACTTATTGAGGCACATGTTTTCATAGCACATTAAATGAAGACTTTTATAATTATTAAGAATTAACTAAAATAATTTACTAGCATGTACCTCGTAATTGAAACAGAATGCAATCACTGACTTACTGATTTTTTTCAATAAAGACACTATATTTAACTGGAATTGGAGGTGAAATTAGCTTATTAAATGTAAAGTAACTAACCTTAGTATCCTTGTATATCTCCTGTGTGCTCTAATGCTTTATAAATAAAAATGGTGCATGCCCAGAGGATGTCCTTTTAATGTCTCCAGTGTATGGACCAGGTAAAACGAACAGAAAACAAATCTAGATCGGTATAAATATTTCTTTGGCCTGTTAACGGAATTTTTATCGTTGAATTATACAGAACTGCATGCAAACAGATAACCTTGGTGATGACCCTTAGCTCTAAAACTAACATTGGTGATGACCCTTAGCTCTAAAACTAAACTCAGTGCAATGTTCACATTTTCTGAAAAGTGTCAGTGGGAATAATACTCATATTTCTCTTTCTAAGGAAGAAATTCTTCAAAATCACCTGTTAGTTTTGAATACTTTTGATATTCCACAGAGCCAAAATGAATTTGAACTACCTTATATATATAGGATTCCTAAACTTCATAAGAATCCTTACAAACAAAGATACATTGCAGGTTCCAGTAAATGTTCAACCAAGCCTCTTTCGTTTCTTCTCACTAAAATATTGACAGAAGTGAGGAAAAAACTTCAAGAGTACTGTGCAACTATATTTTCAACTTTATACACAAGGATTCCCCACGACAAATTAAAATCCAAAAATGGAACTCGTAAATTTACTTACCTCGTCATTGGTCATTTGAAAAATTATTTTGTTAAAACAGATTCTGATTGCACACATAAGTACTCTGAAGTTGACATCAAGAAAATGCTTGAGTTTCTGATTGACAATATCTATGTGGTCTTCGGAGACCAGGTATTCCAACAATCTATTGGAATTCCCATGGGTCTAAATTGCGCTCCGTTATTAGAATACTTACTTTTTATTCATCTGAAGCAGAATTTATACAAAATCTTATGCGTGAAAAGAAGAAAAAATTTGTTGTGGCCTTCAACACGACATTTAGATATATCGACGACGTATTGTCAATTAATAATGATTATTTCCATTCCTACGATGATACGATATATCCTGGTGAGCTTGAGATAAAAGATACCACAGAGTCCGACACTTCTGCTTCATACTTGGATATTTTACTTGAAAAAGACACTAATGGTAATCTAACAACCAAGCTATATGAAAAACGTGATGACTTTAAGTTTTTTTATCGTCAACTTCCCTTACTTATGCAGCAATATACCTTCATCACCTGCATACGGAGTATATATATCTCAGTTGATTCGATACGCAAGAGCATGCTCTACGTATGAACAATTTCTTAAACGAGGTAAATTATTGACAAGCAAGTTGATGAAATAAGAATATCAACAGTCTCGTTTAAAGTCATCATTTCGTAAATTCTATGGTCGATACAATGACCTTGTCAGCAAATACAATTTATCATTGAGTCATATGCTGACTGACGTTTTTCATACCAAATGTTAGTCCATTATTTATACACTGAATTGACGACGGATTTTTTCCGTTATTCCCTGATCATGACAACGAGCACACGGCGGGTGTGACCGGTCGGCAGGAGATGCTCACTCCTCCATGGCACCTGATCCAACATCTGATGTTTCAGAGGTCCGTGTTTGCTTTGCTCTTATTTTGTATATTGTTTAATGGACGTTGAGATTGAATACTGTTCGTTATCTACATATCCTTCTTCAACGGTTGCAATATCTATATTGGAAAAAAATATAATCAAAACTTTACAGAAATCCCTACAGACAAAGATACATAGCGGGTTCCATTAAATGCTCTATCTAGCCTTCTTTTTTTACTCGCACTAAAGTGTGAACGTCAGTGGAGTACTGTGCAACAAAAAGTGGTGTAAATCAGAAGTGGATGGATTGCAATTTCCTCTTCCTTCTTGTCAAGCTTTTCATTCAAACGATCCAATTTCAACCTGGCTGGCACACTATACACACAATTATTCTGAATTTAATATTTAAAAGATATTTGAGTTTTTGATTGACAATATCTATTTGGTTTATAGAGACAGGTCTTCCAACAATCTATTTGAATTCCAGTGACTACCAATTGCACTCCGTTATTAGCAGACCTATCTTTGTATTCATACAAAGTGGAATTTTATCAAAAGCTTATACATGAAAAAAGTACTTGACATATTGTCAATTAACAATGTTATTTCCATTTTTATGTCGATGCGATATGATATGTCCCTTAAGCTTGAAATAAAAAGATACCACACAATCTGACATTTCTGTTTCAAATTAAGATATTTTACTTGAAAATGATATAAATTGTAATCTAACAACCTAGATGTATGATAAACGTGATGACTTTATCTTTTCTATCGTCAACTTCCCTTACTTATGCAGCAATATATACCTTCATCACCTGCTTACGGAGTTTATATATCTTAGCTGATTCAATATGTTACAGCATGCTCTACGTATGGACAATTTCTAACACGAGAAAAATTATTGAAAAACAAGTTCACCGTGTATATCCCAACAAGCGGGTAGTATACTTTGTTGTGCACGGAGTGTATGCTTCCGAAGCGAAAGAAAGGGGGTTGATGTACGCTCTTTTCCGTTTTCCGTTTTCTCAACTTACGGATATTTTTCGCCAGAAAGCATGTCCCTACGGAAGAGAGCCTTATCTAAGGAGTATATGGATACCTATGAATCCACTGGACACTTTCTAGTTTCATCAAACACCTCAACACAATTCCGAGGATCGGACCAAGATTGAAGCTACAATGTGTTTATGATCAAATATCAGAACAAAGCTTTGTCATCACTTTTGTCATTTGTCATTATCATTGTTAAATACATTTTTACTATATAAACGTTTGTACAAAGTGTCTGTAAAAAAACAGTTCGTATTTTAAGATATTGAAGAAAAATCCACTGCATGAAAAGTCGGGTTTAATTTTACCTTAAATGTGATTTAAATGCTGCGATTATTTAATGTTTAAATGCATAAAATAACACATTGTGGGATCGTAAATGTTAGAAAATAATTAGCATTTAATACGAGTTTAATGAAAAATTAAAAGAACAAATTTAATAAAGTTTGGAAAATTTTAAACTTACTTATACGTTCGGATTTAAGTCTGCCGTAAACAAATATTATACCTCTAATATACCAAACGTATAATTATTATTAAACATGCCAATAAAATAAAGTTTTATGGTCAGATTAAATTTGTTCGTTTAATGAAATTTAACGTAGATCTTTACCTCATTATTTTTTGTTAAATTTACACTTTACTTTATAATACTTCCAAAAATTTAGTTATATACGGAAAAATGTAAACTTACTAAAACGTTCAAATATTATTCTTTCATAAACTAATATTAAATCTCTTGTATATGTGATGAAAATGTACGGATTAAACCTTCCCATATCATTAAGATTTAAGGTTGTATTTGATGAAATTTAATATCATTATATTATTGCATATTGTTTATATTTATTCCATCAATAATTTGTATGGTTTACAGTTGTTGGTTTTTGGCAAGTATTTTACAATCATACAAAAATTCATTTCTCATTCAATTTTATTATATGTTATCTCAATGGTGTACAAATAATGAGTTCTAAAAAGTACAAGATATTTCAAATTTATGCCTAAATGTCAAAATTAAAAAAATTTTACAATCATGATTGTAGCTCAATTATAATGGAGTAAATTTTTACAAACTAGTAGTAAGTAATTAACTGAAGTAATTATAAATAATTTAATATAAGAATAGAATTGTGTGTAAAATTCAAATCTGCATTAAATCAGAACATAACAGGTCAAAAATGAAGTCATTTTGGACTCCAAAATCTGTGACTGAAACTGACCCTATTAAAACTGCTGCATGGGTTGTAAATGGCTTTTAGATTTCCCACAAAAAATTATATCATGCTTTGCATAAAAAGAATAAAAGTTGCCAATAGAAGTTGTCCATTCTTTTTACATGTACATTTAATAAGACACACTAAGCCACTGACAGAGAAGCCTCACTCGCCCACAAGCAACAGCAAAAGGATCGGTCAGAGACACCACCTTTCTCTTACTTGGGTATCAAGATCTGCAACTTACTGCCAGCAAAGCTCTTTCAGACCACCCTTATATTGTTCCCCAAGTATTTCCACAATAGATGTCCATGCACTAATTATTCACTGTGAAAAATACAATAACCAAAAAAATCTTTTATATCATTTGGTTATGTCAATTCAAATTAAGGAAAAGGTATCACAATTACACAAAGCAGCTTAAATTTGTTTCCAATACATGCCCATTTCTGTTTCAACTGCTAGGTATATTGCTTGATGATTGTAAATTAATTAACATATCCTCATTAAATCAACTTTACATTGGAATGCCAGACATTTTAATAGTGATTTTTTTAACTTTGCCTTAAAATATCAAGGATGAGCTATGAAACATGCACATATTAAAGTCCTTTATAAACATATGTACAAGTATCGTAACAATTTTTTAAGCCTTAATTACAATTCCATTTTAATGGAAAAGATTCTCGTCATAAGCTCTCTTACTTCAAAAGGAAGGAAACAAATCAATATTTTACTCTTGCAATTCTCATTACTCTTGCAATAATAATTGTAATATTTATTAAAATCACAATTGCCCCCTTTTTTACTCAGAAATGTCTCTACCTCATTTGTCTATTCTATTTTTACATCTATGACTCACTAAGTCACTGACAGAGAAGCCTCACTCGCCCACAAGCAACAGCAAAAGGATCGGTCAGAGACTCCACCTTTCTCTTACTTGGGTATCAAGATCTGCAACTTACTGCCAGCAAAACTTTTTCAGACTACCCTTGATTGTCTTATTTTTTTCCACAATAATGTCCATGCACTTATATTCAAGTCAGACTTGTACATATATGTAATATATAAATCAAGATAAAAGTGTATGTGATTGCATACTACACAATAAATCAATAAATGTTTAAACAATAAAAAAAAAACATAACAGTTTTAATCTATAATCAAGCATCATAGAAAACTTTCACTGTCAAAAAATTGCAACACTAAGTATATTTTCTTAACTAATATTGAATGTGTCAATTAAAATAAGTTTAAAAAAGCATCAAATTTGTGCAAAACAGTAGCAACTCAGATATTTTTCATCTCTAATAGCCGATCTCTGTTCAATTACTACGTCCATAGGTTTGACTCTTTTAGATTCTTTATTTGTCCTAGTTCTTCTTATGCTCTGCCTTTTAGAGTGCTTTGATTTGAGAGTGGCACTTTTGGTGTCCTGTTCTTTGAAGACTTTCTCACAATCATCAGAAGGCCACGTCAGTTTTCTAATTTCATAGATGGTATCATCACAAGAATCATTTTTTGTACTATGAAGACGCAATCAATATTTAAATCTGCTTCTTCCTGGTTTTTCTTCTCTTCTTGCCAAGAGGTTTTCAGCTCTGGAGAAGCACATCTAGCTCCTAATTTCTACAACAAACATAAAAATAGTACCCATTTGCCTATACATACATATTATATGTGTGCTTCTGTATTTATGCAATTGCATATATTAAATAGTACACAAAATCTGAGTTGTATGTAAAATTATCAATTGACCTAGAGGAAACACAGCTCAATTTTAAGTAATTAAAAAAATTACAGAAGACCACAAAAGACTATGCCATTTTTTCAAGTCTGGGTTATAAAGCCAGATACTTAGCTATAATTTCAGGCCAGTGAGCTACAGTTGAAGCTAGTGTTGATAAACATGTAAATTGGGGTCTAATGATTTTTTTGCTATCTTCCTTTTTGAGCATATTACCACTATGTTTACCTGCTTGAAATTGAACATGTTGAAGTGCTCTTTTCTCTGTTCCTTCACAATAATTCTTTCATTTAGCAGCAAGATACAATGAATAAGGAAAAAAGCTGTAACAAACAAAATATGAAAAATTAATAACAGGTATGGCTCTCCCTACAAAGAATATATAAAAAAGGAGAAAAAATATACAAACAGGGTGTACTTATGACTAACATGACTAATAAATAAGCAAGAAAATAGCATTTTACACAATGAAAAAGATTATATTTGTCATTTAGTTAAGTGAATTACATAAAAAAAATATATAGATATGTATAGATCAAATTTATAAGACGACAAAATATGACATGAAACATGCATAATGGTACCGTAGTCCGAGCACATGGGATTTGAAGATTTACAAAGTTTACGAAAATGCAAAGAATAGCATTTACAGCATTTAACATATAAAGACATACATATCTATAGTTTCATCCCAGCAACCCACAGATTTTGTGGAAGTACATGTAAATTGGGGATTGGTGACTTTTTGTCTTTTTTTGAGCAATTAAAGAATGTATTTTACCTGCTTGACCTTGAATATGTTGAGATGCGCATTCCTTTTCTTCGTGTTCCTCCACGACATTTTATTCAATTTAGCAGAAAGATACTGTTGATTAAAAAAAATATGAACAATTAAAAACAGATATGGCATTTCGTAGAAAAAATATACAAACAGATGTATTTATGATTAGAGCAAGAAGATAAGATTCATACAATAAAATCCTTAAATGGTGGCAATCTCATACACAATAAGTTGTACAACAAATGATTAGTTCCTACCTCATACTGGGTAACCAAATATCTGGTCAAGTCACTTTCAGAAGAAAGGCTCAGCAAGTTCAATGTTGATCATTTCCATAGGACTTCAAACTTTTCTGGCACAATATCTGAAAGAACAGATGTATCTTGCATGGTTTTTTGTTCAAACTAGGATTAATTCTGATGAATGTAATAAAAATTTTAAAAGTTTATAGATGACAGACGGATACCAGACACAGATCAGAAAACTCGCTCTAGTCTTAAAATGGCTCAGGTGAGCTAAAAAAAATCAATTCATGTGATTTTATTGATCTTATCAGAAAATTTAATAAGAAATCTTACCTTTGTGTTAATCTTCACACTACTTTTGTCATTTCTTGTGATCATTTAGATTCCTGTAAATAATAAATGCATAATTGTGCATCATAGAATATGATAGCTATTTTTAATAATCATGCTTAAGTATTTAACGTAAGAAAACTTATGCATAGCTCAGAATCCATTGCTTTTTGTATTTTTAGGATAAGGAACTAAGAATATAGGCCTAAAATTCGTTTTGTTTACTTGGTATATATAGCATTTCAAGTTATTGCAGTGTTTTTATAGTCTTATGCTAAAAGATACAAGTTAATAAAAACATTGTTAGGCTATTTGTGTTAATTGAAAATTAGAGCTGCATGGTTCTCACCATTTTCACAAGCTGTCCACATAGCCGGCGCTGTGGGGAATCGCCTCAGGCAGTCGCACAATCCGCTATTTCACAAGCTGTCCACATAGCCGGCGCTGTGGGGAATCGTCTCAGGCAGTCGCACAATCCGCTAGTGCTGAATATGATTTTGAGTAAGAAATAAATATCTATTTTATTACATTGTACAACATACTCTGTAAATGCTGAACAGAGGAACACTAAAATTCTGGAACCAATCCCAAACGAGGAAATTCTGGTTAAAATCCATCTTTATGAGAGAATCAGAAAGATGTTTAAAAGTGTTAAATAATAATTACAAAATTTAAATAGCGCTTGCCCAAACGTTTTTACTGCCAGACATTTTATGTGTAGTGCCCAGAACAGTAATATTATCAGTAACAGAAGCAATTATTCATTCAAGGACACATGATAACATTTCGTACATTGCAACTTGTTCCTACCGCTATACCGGGTCGTAATTGTCTTCATCTTCTGTTAAAACAGAAATTCCATCCAAAGTTTATCATGCTTCTTCTTTTCGTGTAACTCTCTTTCAACCTTTGTCCCATACAACATCATGATGAAGTTCAACATGGCTGCTCGGAACACTCCAAAAAATTGAATTTCGGCGCGGTGTGTTGTTTTTAAATTAATTACTTTTCGATCCCGACTTCGATCCCGATGTAATTGTACTACAGTAGTAGTCGATAGGGAAAAAACAAAGTTATATTCCACAGTTTTGAAAAATCTACATAAGGGTTAAATAATTAAAAATGAGAAATGAATAAATTAAAATAAATAGGGTGCCTAAATATTATTTTTCAAATATGTTTCAACATAAGTTTACATTAAGTATAAAGAATTATTTATGACATATCTTTATACCAAAAATATACTTAAACTTTAAGTATAAGCATATTTACTTTTACATGTCAATATTCTTAAACGAAACGTATAATCTTCTTAATTAAACTATATTATTCTCGACGTATTTTGCATTAAATATGATTATACTTATTTGAAAACTGTAATTAATTATATCACAATATATCTCATGTAAAATGTACCGTTATACATGAATTAAATTTAAAACAAGGAATTTACTGGAGTAAACGAATTTATTAAATTATATTAAACGCGACTTTTCATGCAGTGATCAATGCTGTGTCCGGGGTGTATGCAACATGCTGTACGCGGGATGTATACCCCTTATTTTACTTTATTGCATCATTATCTGAAATATCATTGAAAATTTTACTTAACAATTGACTTTTCTGAAAGTTCTATTATTTTTTTTTACTTATTTACCAGCGAAAAGAAATTGTGTTGAGGTGTTTGATGAAACTAGAAATTTGCCGGTGGATTCATTTGTTCCCATATACGAGCTTCTTAGATAAGGCTCTCTTCCGTAGGGACATGCTTTCTGGCGAAAAATATACGTAAGTTGAGAAAACGGAAATCGGAAAAGAACGTACTCCAACCCCCTTTCTCTCGCTTCGGAAGCATACACCCCGCGCACAACATAGTATACATCCCGCATGTTGGGATATACACGATGAAGTTGATGAAACAAAAATAACAGGAGCATGTTACTAATAAAAAAAAAAACCGGTTCATTGCAGGATTATAAAAGCTTACTTAAATGAGTGGATAGACTACCAGAGATTGGGCATAGTATCAGGAGATTTACTTTGTCTATCCATCGGCCAATGATATCCTATTTCGATATTGCCGCTATTTTTTATCAAGAGGAAAAGTGGAATCCCAATACTGGTAAGCTTACATTTGTAGGATCTCAGAACACGAAGCAATAAGGTTTATCGACTACGTTTTCTCAATTAAAAATATTCACTTTCATAAATACCTATTTTGATCCGACATATCCATGTCAATTCGAAATAAAAGATACTATACATACGTTAGTCTGACATTTGTTTCATATTTAATAAATTGTAAGAAAAGAGCATTAATGGTAAATTAAGATCTTTTTTTAAAAAAAAAAACGTTATGACTTCGACTTTTCTAAACGCAAGAAAATTTTCTACGTATGAACAATTTCTAAACGAGATTAATTATTGACAAACAAGTTGATGAAACAAGAATATCAGATGTCTTATTTAAAGTCATCATTTCATTAGTTCAGCTCTATGATCAATTAAATGACGATTAGCAAATAAAATTTATCATTGAGGCAAATGCTAACCGACAATTTTCATACAAATTCTTAGTCCATTATTTATACACTAAATAATTTTTTTTATTGACGACGGATTTTTTTCAATATTTCTCGATCATGACATGGAGAACACGGCGGGCGTGACCGGTCAGCAGGAGATGCGAACTCCTCCATGACATCGGATCCCACTTGTGATGTTATGGAGTGTCAAGCATAGGATAGTTCTCCGCCAGCAATTGGAGCAAGTGACGTCTCCATATGAGTGAAAAATTCTCGAGAGTAGCGTTAAACAACATACAATCAATCAATCTATTCCAGGCTTCCCTAAGGCTTTTTTTATGTTACGATATAAAATTTTAAACCTCCATTTAGACTTTATGTCTCCAAGTTGATTTGAAAAGCAAGAACACAGTCTACTTACAAATATTTTCTACATTTCTGCAATCACTCATTAATATTTACAAAAGACATTTATCCCAGTCCTAGACAAAGTTAACGAAATTCTGAACGGTTTATTCAGTAGTGCATTCAAACAGATAACCCTGCAGGTGATGACCTTACATCTAAAATTGACTTTAGTGTACTGTTAACATTTTCTGAAAAGCGCAAGTGATCAGATTTAAAGGTTGTAACATCTATCATGGATTCCAGAACTTCACACAAATCCCTACAAACAAATAGATATAGCGGCTTCCATCTTTTATTCTACTAAGCCTTTTCACTCTTCACTAAAATATGAACAGCAGTGAAGGAGAAATTTCAAGAGTACTGTGCAACAAGAAGTGGTTTAAATAAGAAGTGGATAATTACAAATTCCAATAGGGTTTAGAAAATTTGAAATCAAAAAACTTTGCCAAAGTTAACAGCATAAAAGCATAAGACATTCCAGTAGTACAATGTATGTGTAACCATTCCCACATGATAAAGCAAAGTCCAGTTTTGCTTTTTTGTATCATTACAGGCTGGGCTGCTCTATACCTATAAGTTCATGTGTTGGTGTATGGTGATTGAGATGTGAGAAGTTATGTAGAATAAAAGGTTTTCAAAACATTTAATAGATTATAAATCAGAATGTTCTTTCCTTCTATAAATAAGGAGATACACAATATATTTACTTCTGTAAAGTGAATCCTTAAAAATAACCTTCAGGTTCCTTTTTTTAGAACATCGAATTTTACTTATCGCATAAAAACAGACTTTACATAGTTTCTGTTTTATATTCTTAAAGTGAAGTACATTTTTGAATTTACAAATGTACGTGATGCATGTGTCAGAGTGAGAATGAGGTTATACACCCTAATGAACTTACAAAAAGCTATTAAAACAAATCAAAGTGTTATATCTTTAGCACAAAAATGTGAAGCCCATCATACTAGAGGCCCTGGATTTTGGAAATTTAATACATCATTATTAGGAGATGAGGATTTTGCGAAGGAAACAAAAGAACTAATCAATTGTTTAAAAGACAAATACACAGATTTAACTTACCATCAACTAAAATGGGACACAATGAAATGTGAATAAAGAGGGTTGTTACAACGCACTTTGAAAAATTACGCACTTTGAAAAAATTTTTCAAAGTGCGTTAAAATTTGGGACCAAGCTAACGCACTTTGAAAAAAATATTTTTTTTTCAAAGTGCGTTAATATCGACCATATTAACGCACTTTGAAAAAAAATGTAAAGATTGATCAATTTTCCTTCAAATAATCGGTATGATAAAAAACAAATTCTGGTTTTATAATTTTTCATAATAAAGTCACAGTAGGACCTGAGATATTGACGTTTTAAATATTTAAGGTTTTGATAAGATAAAAGGGAAAATGAAAGGGTCTTGAAAAAAAGACTGACGATTGTTTAAGTTCATTAATTCGTTTCTTCTTTTTTTTAATTCTAGTCTTTGATAAGTAGATGTAAAGGTGTATAGGGGGCACTAACAGACGACAGCTTCAAGCAACTTAGCATTTATCATAATAAAAAGGGGCCAATTTGATTGTTCAAAACTATG